TCTGGAAGTATTCCTGAGCCCATTCTGTTATTTCCTTGACAGTGGCACTCCTGTTTGAGGTGCAGTGATGTTTAAGGGCCCCGAGATCCCGAGCATCCAGTAGAGGTTTACGGCCTTGACGCTTACGCACAGCGATTGTTCCAGATTCTCTGAATCTTTTGATGATGTTATGCATAGTTGATGATGATAACTTAAAAGTCTTTGATATTTTACGCTGGGTATTCTGGTATTGTTGTACTATCTTTCTGAGCAACAATGGTGGAATTGGTGATCCTCCTACCATCTTGGCTTCTGAGAGACACTGACACTCTGAGAAGCTCTTTTTATACCCAATCATGTTGTCAATTGACCTAATTAGTGTTAATTGCTCTTCCAGCGGAAGATCAATGCCCGGACGTGGGTCATCGGGGCCCCACTCTGGAGCCAGGCCTGGAGATGGGGCACGCGGGCGAGCGCCTGGTGGCCGGGCTTTTACCCATGAAGCTCGGCCGGGCACAGCCCAAAGAGGAGACGTGGGTCCCCCTTCCCATGGGTTCACCACCTGTGGGAGGGGCCAAAGGGGTTGGGTGCAATGTGGGATGGGTGGTGGCCGAGGGCGGGGACCCTGGCGGTCTGATCCTCAGCTACAGAAGCTGGCTATTGGGACATGGAATGTCACCTCACTGGTGGGGAAGGAGCCTGAGCTGGTGTGTGAGGCTGAGAGGTTCCGGCTAGAAATAGTCGGACTCACCTCTACGCATGGCTCTGCCTCTGGAACCAGTTTCCTTGAGAGGGGCTGGACACTCTTCCACTATGGAGTTGCCCCTGGTGAGAGGCGCCGAACAGGAGTGGGCATACTTATTGCCCCCCAACTTGGTGCCTGTGTGTTGGGGTTCACCCTGGTAAATGAGAGGGTGGCCTCCCTCCACCTACATGTAGGGGGACGGATTCTGACTGTTGTTTGTGCTTAAGCACCAAGCGGCAGTTCAGACTATCCACCCTTTCTGGAGTCCTTGGAAAGGGTACTGGAAAGTGCACCTCCTGGGGACTCCCTTGTTCTGCTGGGGGACTTCAATGCTCATGTGGGCAATGACAGTGAGACCTGGAGGGGTGTGGTTGGGAGGAACGCCCCCCCTGATCTGAACCCGAGTGGTGTTCTGTTGTTGGACTTCTGTGCTCATCATGGATTGTCAATAACGAACACCTTGTTCAGGAATAAGGGTGTCCATATGTGCTCTTGGCACCAGGACACCCTAGGCTGCAGTTCGATGATCGACTTTGTCATCGTCTCATCTGATCTGCGGCCACATGTCTTGGACACTCGGGTGAAGAGAGGGGCGGAGCTGTCCACTGATCACTACCTGGTGGTGAGTTGGCTCCGATGGTGGGGGAGGATGCCGGTCACACCTGGCAGACACAAACGTATTGTGAGGGTTTGCTGGGAACGTCTGGCAGAGTCTAATGTGAGACGGAGTTTTAACTCCCACCTCCGGGAGAACTTTAAACATGTTCCAAGGGAGGTGGGGGACATTGAGTCCGAGTGAACCATGTTTTGTGCCTCTATTGTCGAGGCGGCTAACCAGAGCTGCGGCCGCAAGGTTGTCGGTGCCCGTTGCGGCGGCAACCCTTGAACCCGATGGTGGACACCGTCGGTGAGGGATGCTGTCAGGCTGAAGAAGGAGTCCTACCGGGCCTTTTTGGCCTGTGGGACCCCGGAAGCAGCTGATGGGTACCGGCAGTCCAAGCGACATGTGGCTCGGGTGGTCGCTGAGGCAAAAACTCGGGCATGGTAGGAGTTCGGAGAGGCCATGGAGAATGACTTCCGCATGGCTTCGAGGAGATTCTGGTCCACCATCCGGCGTCTCAAGGGGGGAAAGCGGTACGCCACCAACACTGTTTATAGTGGGAGTGGTGTGCTGCTGACCTCAACTCGGGATGTTGTGGGTCGGTGGGAAAAATACTTTGAAGACCTCCTCAATCCCACCGGCACTTCTTCCATTGAGGAAGCGGAGCCTGGGGACTCTGGGTCGGGCCCTCCAATCTCTGGTGCTGAGGTCACCTAGGTGGTTAAAAAGCTCCTCGGTGGCAGGGCCCCAGGGGTGGATGAGATTCGCCCGGAGTTCCTTAAGGTTCTGGATGTTGTAGGGTTGTGTTGGCTTACGCGACTCTGCATTATTGCGTGGAAATCGGGGGAAGTTCCCCTGGATTGGCAGACCGGGGTGGTGGTCCCCCTATTCAAAAAGGGGGACCGTAGATTGTGTTCCAACTACAGGGGAATCACGCTCTTAAGCCTCCCTGGTAAGGTCTACTCGGGGGTTCTGGAGAGGAGGGTCCGTCGGATAGTCGAACCTCGGATTCAGGAGGAGCAGTGTGGTTTTCATCCTGGCCGTGGAACACTGGACCAGCTCTACACTCTCAGCAGGGTCCTAGAGGGTGCGTGGGACTTTGCCCAACCGGTCTACATGTGCTTTGTGGACTTGGAGAAGGCGTTCGACCGCGTCCCTCGGGGAACCTTGTGGGGGGTACTCTGGGAGTATGGGGTACCAGGCCCTTTGATACGGGCTGTTAGGTCCCTGTATGACCGGTGTCAGAGCCTGGTCCGCATCGCCGGCAGTAAGTTGGGCTTGTTCCAGGTGAGAGTTGGACTCCACCAAGGTTGCCCTTTGTCACCGATTCTGTTCATAATTTTTATGGACAGAATTTCTAGGCGCAGCCAAGGTGTTGAGGGGATCTGTTTTGGTGGCCTTAGGACTGCGTCTCTGCTTTTTGCAGATGATGTGGTCTTATTGGCTTCATCAGATCATGATCTACAGCTTTCACTGGACCAGTTCGCAGCCGAATGCGACGCGGCCGGTATGAGGATCAGTTCCTCCAAATCCGAGGCCATGGTCTTGAGCCGGAAAAGGGTAGAGTGCCCTCTCCGGGTCAGGGAGGAGGTCCTACCCCAAGTGGAGGAGTTTAAGTATCTTGGGGTCTTGTTCACGTATGAGGGAAAAATGGAGCGTGAGATCGATAGGCGGATAGGTGCAGCGTCAGCAGTGAAGCAGGCGCTGTGCAGGTCTGTCGTGGTGAAGAGAGAACTGAGTCAAAAGGCGAAGCTCTCAATTTACCGATCGATCTATGTTCCTACCCTCATCTATGGTCACGAGCTTTGGGTTGTGACCGAAAGAATAAGATCTTGGATACAAGCGGCCGAAATGAGTTTTCTCCGCAGGGTGTCTGGGCTCTCCCTTAGAGATAGGGTGAGAAGCTCGATCATCCGGGAGGGACTCAGAGTAGAGCCGCTGCTTCTCCACGTCGAGAGGAGCCAGTTGAGGTGGCTCGGGCATCTGTTTAGGATGCCTTCTGGACGCCTCCCTGGTGAGGTGTTCCGGACACGTCCCGCCGGAAGGAGGCCCAGAGGAAGACCCAGGACACGCTGGAGGGACTATGTTTCTCGGCTGGTCTGGGAACGCCTCGGGATTCCCCCAGAAGAGCTGGCCCAAGTGGCTGGGGAGAGGGAAGTCTGGGCCTCCCTACTTAGGCTGCTACCCCCGCGACCCGACCCCGGATAAGCGGAAGAAAATGGATGGATGGATGGATGGATGGATGGATGGATGGATGGATGGATGGATGGTCTTCCAGCTGTTCGTTATATGCTCAATTTCCTTTTTCCAGCCACTTGTCCCAACTTTTTTGGGATTTGTTGACACACTGAAATTTTGAATCAACATATTTTTCCTTTAAAATGTTACATTTACTCAGATTAAACTTTTGATCTGTCATCTATGTTATATTACGAATAAAATATTGACATTTGCCATCTCCACATCATTGCATTCAGTTTTTATTCACAATTTGTTTAGTGTCCCAACATTTTGGGAATCCGGTTTGTATTAACAATCGTCTTCAGAACACCTTAGCATCATAATATCAGCACCGTTCCCAGTCTCATCATATTCCATATCACTCCGCCACCACAGATCACAACCCCTTTATGTATTGGTGAGCGGCACTATATACTTTGGTGACCAAGGTGGCTCGAGGCTCCGGCCGCGAGCTCTACAGCATCACCCCGCCTGCAGTTCATCGCTTCCCGGGGCCGAGGACAACATGCCTCACTGCACCCTTACTTCCCACTCCGGCGGCGGAGGGTCGGGGCCCCCTTGCCCTGGCATGTCTGCCAACCAGAGCAAACATATGTTTTTAGGTGTTAATCTTGTTAAATTTTGAAGAACTACAACATCGAGTCTTCCTGAGCGCAGTCCTGTGTCCGGCAATCGATTTTTGACAGCCACTCAATTTTTGGCATGACACCTGTCATAAGGGGTCAACACATAAGAAATGCGACTTGTGTTTTTTTCCTCTTCAATATGCATTTTTTGCCCTATGCGACCTATACTCCGGAGCCAAATATAGCTCGAAAAATACGGTACATGACTTTAGTAAAAGTACACAGTACTGTATACTGTGTACAGGACTTTTATAAAGTACACCGTATACTGTGTACGTAAGTTTAGTATTAGTACAGTGTACTGTATACATGGCCTTAGGAAAAGTAAAGGTACTGTACTTTCTATCAGCGTTCTGAGCACTGAACAGTTTCCCACTTTGCCTCATTCATTTTAAATGAACTCTGACCAAGACAAGACGGCAGTGTTTCTGACAACGTTCACAAATGGCTTCTCCTTCGTACGGAAGAGCTCAAACCAGTATCTGTTGATGGCATGGTGAAGATGATGGGATATTTGAAGTATTTCCAATTTGCAATAAAGAAACAGTTTTTGGTGCAGTTTCTTGGAGCATGATAAACGTCGGTCCAGTTTTACTTTTGAGAGATTTTGCCTCTCTAAAATGATTTTTATATCTAGTCCTCTTACTATCTTTTGCCATTTAACTGAATTAGTTGAAAATGCTCTTCCAGCTGTTTCTTATTCATACCACTTACTTTTGTAGCATTTTGTTGTGCCTCCTCTAACATTTCTGAAGCATGTTATTGCAATGAAAATTAAAATAACTTTATTTTTATTGTTTTACTAAAAACTGTACAATTTTTATTTAGTTTGCCGTCTTCTCTTAAAACATTCTACTTTCAGCATCCACTGCCTTTCATGTGAACAGTAGAGAGATTTGATTTACCGTGGCAGCGGTGCAGTTACTTCCCAGAGACAGACACTGACCCGAGCACCACTGGCAGCTGTTTGTATTTGCAGTGCAGCTGTAGCAGTCTGTATACTGTTCACACCTCTCATTGTCAGCATCTGCAATGTTTGGAAGAACATCTGAGTACCTTTGTAAACTTTAAATACACAAAAAGGGTTTCAGCCAGATGAATGACTGCACATAACAATGTGTCCAGGAATGTGAGTACACTTCATTTTCTCTATATTGCTGACTTTAAAGTGAAATTTACACTAATTAAAAAATTAATTTAAATGTAGACAAGTAAACAGAGGAGACAACAGTATGTGTGACTCGGTGAAACACATTTATGGAAATAAATGTTTGTTAAAATGTTGTTAATATCAAACAAGAGGAATAGTTTATTAACAGCTCTCACTGGTTACAGTTTTACTGTCAACTGTTGGTTTCCATGACTCAGAAGCTCACATGCCTGTCAGAGCGCCTGTCAGAGCGCCTGTCAGAGCGCGTGTCACAGCGCCTGTCAGAGCGCCTGTCAGAGCGCCTGTCAGAGCGCCTGTCAGAGCACCTGTCAGAGCGCCTGTCAGAGCGCCTGTCAGAGCGCGTGTCACAGC